CCTCCTTATTGCTGTGTGGAATCAATCAATTGACAATAAATCCTGAGTTAAATGCAACTGAGAAAGTATCCTACTAATCTTAACCTTTGAGCATTGAATCTATCCACCTTGCAATGGGGCCAAGAAAATATCCCAGTGGCACATTGCCTGCCTGGCAAGCATGAGGTCCTGAGTTTGATTCCTGGTACACACACACACAAAAAAATGGCTAGTTTGTCTACACTGAAGACCTGTGTTGAAGACCCAATTTATGTTGAAGACCTATGTTTATATCTCCTCATATTTATGTACTTTGTAGACAAACTGTAGGAATACTAACTCTGCTTGTTAATACAATTATTAATGATATAGTATAAAAAAGAATATTTTCTTAGACGTGTGTGTTCATGGAAAGAGGACTGGGTTTGGAAGCAAGATGATAAAATGGAGTTTCTTTTTCTTCTGTTCCTCAAACTGAAAATAATAGAGCTGGTTTAGTATGATGGCATCTTTACACCTTCAAAACACAAGATCATCATGTTATGATTATATTTTTTAATTTTTTAATTTTAAAGACAATAAAAGCATGACAGAACAACAACAAAGACCAAAAAAACAAAGCAAAAACAATAACAACAATACAGGGTTTCAAAACAAAATGACAGGAATTAACAATGATTCTTATATTACATATTATTAGCGTCAATGAATTTGCTCAGATTACCAGACGTAAAAATGCAAAATTGATCAAACCATTAAAGAGAACAACGAGGCTTACAGATTTCATGACCAAATTCAGTACTGTAGCTGGATACAAAGTCAACACTCAAAAATCAGGAGCATTCCTGTACACAAAAAACAGACAGAGAAAACCACAGACAGGAAAACCACACCTTTCATAGTAGCATCTAAAAAAATGAAATACTTAGGAATCAATCTAACAGAGCAACTAAGAGCTCTAGACAGTGAAAATTACAGTACTCTGAAAAAAGAGATTCAAGAGGATATCAAAAAATGCAGAGATATTCCTTGCTTATGTGTAGGAAGAACCAAAATTATAAAAATGACCATACTCCCAAAATTGTTGTACAGATTCAATGCAATCACAATTAAAATACCATTAATATACCTCACAGATCTAGAGAAAACTTTTCTAAAATTCATCTCGAACCAGAAGAGGCCTAGAATAGCAAAAACAATTTTGGGCAACAAAACAAAGGCAGGAGACATCATAATCCCTGACTTGAA